CCTTAATTGGGGTCATAAGTAATTATAGGTATAGTTACCTTTTGTAAAATCTAACCCTGTCACTAAGTCCCATGAACCTCCAAGTAAACCCCAAACCGAGGTTTAAGGGTTCAGGGGTTTGGGGATTTTGGAGTTCAGGGGAACTGGGCTGTGGGCTTTTAAGATATACTAAGCCCCATGAATCTCCAAGTAAACCCTGAACCGAGGTTTAAGGGTTCAGGGATTTTGGGATTTTGGGGTTCAGGGGAACTGGGCCGTGGGCCCTTCTTAAGAGAGAGTTTTAGCATTTCAGAGACTTAGGATTACCTAGGCGTTAGGGCTTCAGGTTTTCAGCCCTGAGGGTTTATAGCTGTGGGGGTTTAGGGTTACTACGGTTGATGATATAAACCCTGCATTACCCATAACAAGGAAGATACCATAATCCCCAAAGTTAAGTGTCGTTAAGGTAATTCAGGATTTTATATCATCGACAGTAGGTCTACCAATGGGCCCTGTTTCCCCTTATTTGTGGTCTTAGGTTCCTTATAAAACTATTAGGGTTTAAGGTGTAGGTTTAACTACCCAATACAAAAAGGCTAGCTCGTCATATTCCCGGGTTACTGGGCATCCTAGGGACTTCACAGCCTTCAAACAAGGAACACCTCCCCTAAACCCTAAACATCATATATAGGTGCCTTAACAATTACCTATACTAGTTTGGGGGATTCCTTGTTATAACTATAGTACTATATACCCCAAGACCCTATTCTAATTATTCAGGCCCCTACATTAGAGTATCCAATACCTTGCCTACTATTGGCATACCATAAAATTTCATAAACCCTAAACCCTAAACCCTAAACCCTAAACCCTAAACCCTAAACCCTAAACCGTAAGGAGCCCCTCGCTTTGTAGATAGAATTTCCCAGCCAGTGGGTTTTCCGCTTGCACACCGAAGGGTTTAGGGTTTAGGGTTTAGGGTTTAGGGAGCAATTTCTCAAATATGCCCCTAAACCCCTAAACCCTACATGGAGGCTCGTGGGACTTAGTAAGTAGAGCTATAAGTACCTTAGTTGGGGTTAGAAGTAGTTATAAGTTTAGTTACCTTATTTATCACCCTAGTTACTAAGTCCCATGAACCTCCAAGTAATCGCAGTCAAAGGCCTGACCCCTAAACTCGGAACAAAAATCGTATGCTACACTCCTTATACCCAAGCCCCCAAGCCCCAAACCCCAAACCCTTAGCCCCGATCCCTACCTGCGACCCCAAACCCTACCAAATGGTAGGTTATGACCTTAAATAGAGGGTAGAAGCCTTAAAGCAGTACGTTGGTTTTTGCATCCCCAGGTAACCCTAAACCCTAAACCCTAAACCCTAAACCCTAAACCCTAAACCCTAAACCCTAAACCCTAAACCCTAAACCCTAAACCCTAACACCTTGAAGCCGAAAAGCTTTGCAGGACGAGGGCCTCAGAAGCGGTGACCACCCAGAGGCAGAGGCAGCCTAAGGGCTTTCGTGGGGGATTCCTTCAGGTGATCTATAAGGGTTCCTTTAAAGGAATCTATAAGGGCTTTGGGTTTAGGGTTCAGGTTTTTTTGGGTTTTTTTTCAAACATTGTCCCATAGGGTTCTTGATGTAGGGCCTGAATAAGTAGTACTGCTGTATTGACATTCCTGCTTGGGTCTTGGCCCCGAAGGTGAGCATTGGGTCAAGAACAGGGTTTCAGGCAAAGGAAGAATCCTCCAACCCAGATGCTAATTTCAAAGCCCTAAACCCTAAACCCAGATGCTAATTTCAAAGCTCTAAACCTGACAACCGAAACCCGAAGCCCCAAAGCCTTGACCATAAGTTTGGCGTTCTTCTGGTTGGCTCTTACGACCAAAACTTGTTATCTCTCGCTATAAACCTTAACGAGTAGGCTAAAAGGGGAAAAGTTTAGCTTTTGGGAGGGGTTCAGGAGTCAGCCAAGTGAATAGGGGCACGGGTCATCAACAAAAAGCATTCCCTCATTTAGGGTTCAGGGTTTAGAATCATTCTGCAGTGTACTGAAAAGCCGCATTCCCGGCTCAAGCCATTAAGCCGTCAAGCCCCACTCCATCCTATAAGCCCTAAACCCTACACCTTAAACCCTAAAGCCTCCCAGCTCAAGGCCTTTTTAACCCAAACCCTTAACCCATGGAGCCCTGAACCCAAAGACCCTAAACCCTAAACCCTGAACCCCAAACCCTAAACCCGAAACCCTAAACCCTAAACCAGCAAACCCCCGAGGCAGCTTCAACAGCGCTCCTCGACGACACGGGCCAGCTGAACGAGGTGACGCCTGCGGGGGGTTCAATCGGGACCTACTTTGGAAGCCTAAATCCTCTGTGTTCTTCTGGTTGGCTCTTAGGACTTTAACTTTTGGGGCTTCTATATGAACTATAATAAGGCGCTAAAAGTTTAACTTTTTGGAGGGGTTCAGAAGTCAGCCAAGAATAATTACCAATATTATTCCCTAGGGTTCCTTGCCTATTCCAATTATTGAGGCCCCTCAAACCCTAAACCCTTATAGTAGCCCTTTAAGGAACCCTTTAAGGAACCCTTTAAAGGAGCCCAGGCCCCTCAAACCCTAAACCCTTATAGTAGCCCTAGAACCCTTTAAGGAACCCTTTAAAGGAGCCCAAAAAACCCTCTTCCAATTATTCAGGCCCCTACATTACTTGGAGGTTCATGGGACTTGGTGGGCTGCTTAAAGGGGTTTAGGGTTTAGGGTTTAGGGGTTTAGGGGTTCAGGGTTCCTTCTTCAGGATACTCTAGGTGTGGTTTAGGATTTAGGGTTTAGGGTTCGCCTGTCGGGGCTGGATCAAGTCCCAGCAGGGTCTTAAAGCGGAGGTAGTACTCTTAACAAAGGAAGCTGAATTTACAAGCCAAAGTTATCCAAGGTTTTGATTAGGGTGCTTTATATGAGCCCTAAACCCTGAATTGTATGAGCCGTAGTCTTTAGGGGTCATAGGGTCAGAGTTTCTTATCACACCATGAGGGGCCGAAGTGGGACTTGTGAAAGGGTTTATATGTGGCTTCGCAGCTGAGCAAGGTGTCCTGGAGTACTGCGGAGCTACCGGATGTTTGCAGGATTTCCTATGTGGCCATGTGCTGCTTCTGTTTGGGGTCTCGTTAAAACTCCACAGCCATGACGACTGCATGCAGTCCCAATCACTCAGACGATTCCTGTCCCACCTATGGTCTCCGTATGGCATACATACATGTTGCACTCGAAGGTAAGATGGCCTACATCCCAAAGCCGGCTTAAGGCATTCGGCGTCTTTCGGCCGTGCGCTATGTCGATTACCTTTCAAGTTGGATTGCTCAGTGGCAGGACAGCTACTGTGAAAGCCTGCTTGGACGAAGAAGTGGGAGCACTGAAACTTCGGGCGGAAACGGCGCTCGAAGTGGGGAAAGGGCGGCTGGTGGACTCATCTGGAGGTGTTCTGGATGTTTGTGCACCGATCAAGCGTGCCCGGCTGCAGGATGGTGCTTCACTGGTTTTACATATAAGCAAAGTTCAAGTTCAGGCCACTGAACGTGCTTTTGCTTCCATTCTTGGCGACACGTCAGTCATCACATGGGGTGATTCCGGCTTTGGTGGTGACACCAGTGCAGTGCAGGATCAGCTGAATAATGTGCATCTGATTCAGGCAACCCGCCAAGCTTTTGCTGCAATTCTTGGGGACGGATCCGTCGTGACCTGGGGTGCTGCTTCCAATGGCGGTGACAGTAGCGCTGTGCAGGATCGGCTGACGACTGTGCAGCAGATCCAAGCCTCTGGCAGCGCTTTTGCTGCCATCCTTGGTGATGGATCGGTCGTAACCTGGGGGGCTGATGGTGGCGACAGTCGTGCTGTGCAGGACCAGCTGAAAGATGTGCACCAGATCCAGGCTGCTACAAACGCTTTTGCTGCCATTCTTGGCGATGGATCGGTCGTCACCTGGGGTTTTGCTTACCTTGGTGGCGACAGTAGCACAGTGCAGCATCAGCTGAAGAACGTGCAGCAGATCCAGGCCACGGCAGGTGCTTTTGCTGCCATTCTTGGCGATGGATCGGTCGTCACCTGGGGTTTTGCTCACCATGGTGGCGACAGTAGCACAGTGCAGCATCAGCTGAAGAACGTGCAGCAGATCCAAGCCTGTAAAGGTGCTTTTGCTGCCATTCTTGGCGATGGCTCGGTTGTGACCTGGGGTAGTTCTCTCTACGGTGGTGACAGTAGTGGCGTGCAGAATCAGCTGACGACTGTGCAGCAGATCCAAGCCACTTCCTTCGCCTTCGCTGCCATCCTTGCCAATCGATCTGTCGTGACTTGGGGTAATTCTCGCTACGGTGGTGACAGTCGTGCTGTGCAGGACCTGCTGAAGAATGTGCAGCAGATCCAAGCCACTTCCCGCGCGTTTGCCGCCATTGCTGGCGACGGATCCGTTGTCACCTGGGGTCATCCTGACGACGGAGGTGACAGCAGTGCTGTAGAGGAGCAGCTGAAGAATGTGCAGCAGATCCAAGCCACTTCCCGCGCGTTTGCTGCCATTCTGGGCGATAGATCTGTCGTGACCTGGGGTGCTGCTGGCCGTGGTGGTGGCAGTCGTGCCGTGCAGGATCAGCTAAAGAATGTGCAGCAGATCCAAGCCTCTGAAAGATGCTTTGCAGCAGTTTTGGGCGATGGTTCTGTTGTTACCTGGGAGCAGGAGCAACCGGAAGAGGAGTTGGAGGAGGAAGAGGAGGTTTAAGCGGAAGCGGAACACTCGGAGCAGGAACCAGCTGCTATTGAGTAACGGCTGCGCACCCTTCAACAAGTGGTCGTTGTAGCAATCAGCAGCCACCCCGTTTCGAGAAAGCTCAGTTTCGGGGCTGTGCTCGTCTTCATCCCTAAACCCTAAACCCTAAACCCTAAACCCTAAACCCTAAACCCTAAACCCTAAACCCTAAACCGTTTCAGCAAACCTTCGATAACGTGGTGCCCACAAGTTCTTAAAATGCAAGCCCGAGGAGCCGCTGGGAGTCTAGGCCTGCCCGAAGCGACGGTGAAGGTTTAGGTTTAGAGGTTTAGGGTTTGGGGCAAGTTTAGGGCTTCAGAGTTCATGAGTTGGGGTTTGGGGTTTAGGGTTTAGGGTTTAGGGTTTAGGGTTTATAAGGTTTGAGGTTCAAGATTTCCGGCTTAATTGGGCGTTTCCTGGCTTTGCGGGGTGGAAGGTTCCCAAGCAGCAGGCTTAACATACTTGGAGCTTGACCATAAGATGACACGTTTAAATTTGTCAATCAACATCCTTAGCGCGACGGTGCAAGATGTAAACCGTAAACCCTAACTGCAAGAAGTAGCAGCTCGGCAAAGACGGACCCGAGACAAGTACAGCGCGCACCAAACGTCAGACAAGCAGCGGCCGGACTTGGTTTATTTAGCAGGGGTATAGGGTTTAGGGTATAGGGTTTATAGGGTAGCGACACGTCAACTCCCATGGCCTAGATCGTGTGAAGCGATCAAACGTAACGGCTTCAAGGGTTTGAGAGGGTATAATTTACGTGATGTACCGTCTTAAAGTTTGAGCGGGGGTGCAAGATGTTCTAAGCTTTGCGGCCCATCCAGGTCAGGATCCGATACCGTCCTCCGCGAAATGGCGCCAAAGACTCTAACATTCTAAAACCCTTCGACCAAGATTATCATCTGAAGTATACATATTATGCATACCTCAGAGATTACGGAGCCATCCCGGCATCCCTAAACCCTAAACCCTAAACTCTAAACCCATTCTGCTTGTGATTTCATAATTACAGCCGCCACGTGTGCCCGCCTCGCTTCTCGACAACAAACATCCAACATGCATATCTTAAAGGGGTCCTTAGGGTTTAGGGTTTAGGGTTTTATAGTAAGGGCACCTGGAGGATAGCTTTAAGGGGTCCTGAGTCCTTAGGGTTTAGGGTTTAGAGTTTTATAGTAAGGGCATAAGGGCACCTGGAGGATAGCTCAATGGGGTCCTTAGAGTTTAGGGTTTAGGGTTTTATAGTAAGGGCACCTGGAGGATCATTGGACTTGGTAAGTAAGGTTACTACTGCCTTCATTTGGGCTATACGCAATCGTAAGTTTGGTTACCTTAGTTGGTTAAAACTATAACCCTAGTCAGAAAGTCCCATCATCCTTTGAGTAGACCCTAAACTTCCTAAGAATCCCTCACCGACCCTGATGAACCCTCAATCTAGGACATGCTCAGGTGGGTAGTTACCGTTATGGGAGCCTTATAGAAGGTCTATATACCGTATGGAAGCCTTATAGAAGCCTTAATTGCCCTAAGCTCCCCACCTGTAGTTTCTTCTAACTCAAGTTTTAAAGAACAGCCAGGTGCAGCAGGAAGAGACTCCGCCACTCAGCAGATCCCAGGAAGAAAGCAGCAAGACAGAGGAGGTGGGCTTTTCGGGTTTAGGGTTGCGGGCTTTCAGATTCGAATCCCTCAGCCCTAAACCCGAAACCCTAAAGCCCCTAAAGGGATCCAAATACATAAACGTGGCTTGCTGTGTTACATACATACCACAGGTACGCTCCCCAGGCTACTCATTATCAGTAACCCTAGACCCTAAACCCTGAAGCAGAAGGCCGTTTTTCACATAACGACTCCCAAAGGCTCCATGTACCTTTATAGTAGATACTTAAGCCCTAAAGTACCTGTATAGGGGCCCCTTTCGGGCTTAAGTAACTACTATAACGGTAAATGGAGCCTTTGGGGACTAAACTCCTTGTCGGCAACCGCAGCCTCAAGGACAGGATTCTTGGCTCTAGCTAAGCGAGCTCAGGAAGTTAGGGTTTGTGGCTTGAGGGTTGAAGGTGTAGGCCCAGGCTGAAACGTCAAAATAGTGTGCAGAAGTCGGAACAACGAGTGATTGTAACTCCTTATGGCTCATAGTCCCAATGCCCTGCTGCTATTTTTGGGCTCTTCATGTTGTACAGATCTTACCCTAACCACCAAGCCCAAAAAACGTGAATGAGCTTCTGTAAACATCTGGGTAAATCTCTACATCAGGGTCCCTTTCAAGGGTCCTTTTTATAAGAATGCCGTACTATATTGGGGACCTTTTACAAGGGACCTTAATTCAGAGAAATCCCCATTTAGGGATTGAGATCTGAGGACTTGTGGCCAGGGGTTGTCAAACACAGGCGGTTTAGGGTTTAGGGTTTAGGGTTTAGGGTTTAGGGTTTAGGGTTTTGCCCACCGTAACCCTTAGAGCCTTAGGGTTTAGCGTTGAGGGGTTCTTCTCAAGGGCACTTTTAGTCCCAGAAAGGGTTCCGTTTAAGGGATCCTTCAAGGGTTTACGGCTCAGGGCTTTTACTAAAAGGATCATGGGACTTAGCAACTAGTTTAACCTGGCTTCTTAAGTCCCACGAGCCTCCAAGTACGGTCAGGGTTCACATCAGCCCTAAACCCTAAACCCTAAACCCTAAACCCGGGTAACTGTTAAACAGTCAAGTAAGAACAACAAATATGACTCGATCACTCTAAGCCTCGCAGCACTGGGAGCTGAAATTTGAATGATCCCTGCCGACGTCGAGGCTCCTGGGATGATTAGGGGTTTAGGGTTTAGGGTTTAGGGCTTAGGGCTTAGGGTTTAGGGCTTAGGGCTCAGAGTCAGGCACAGGCCCGAGTGGCAGAGACTCGGAGCCTGGAAGGTAACAGTCAAGGTTGAGAGACCTTGTGCCTGCCGATCAGGCTTCAGGGTTTAGGGTTTAGGGTTTAGGCTTTAGGGTTTAGGGTTTAGGGTTTAGGGTTGAGAGACCTTGTGCCTGCCGTGACCTTTTTCTGGGTCCTTAATAATTAGAATAGGGTATTGGGGGTTCCTTTAAAGGGTTCCTTAAAGGGTTCTATAAGGGCTACTATAAGGGTCTTGGCGATGGATCTTTTGCCTGTGAGACGGTTTAGGGTTTAGGGTTTAGGGTGAGACGTTTGTGATCTCTTCGCTGCTCCTGCGGCGTCTGCCGACGGTGGGTCGTTGCTGATCCCAGCTTGTGCCAACTGTGGCTAAGGGACTGCCTCAAGATATTTCTGAGCACAGAGCGCAATCGGGAGTGGGTCAGAGACTCCCTTGAACTTCACAGCTATTTCGTCAACATCGTGGATTTTGGAAAAGGGGTTGGTCAAGGAAAGCATGTAAATGCGGGTAGCTTAGGGTTGGGCATTTAGGGTTTAGGGTTTTGGTTAGTTAAGCCGCCTAAACCCTGAGCCGTATGTCCCTTCACATTCTTGGTATGCATGGCTTCTCCTTGATTTACCCCAGACCCTAAACCCTAAACCCTAAACCCCCTTAGGGTTTAGGGTTTGGTTGGTATGCATGGCTTCTCCTTCCTTTACCCAGGCCCTAGCTTGCAAATGTCAGATACTTCCCCGACTCCAACACCATCAAACCTTGGGCACGTTTAGGGTCTAGGGTTTAGGGGTTTAGGGTTTAGGGTTTAGGGTTTGGGGTTTAGGGTTTAGGGTTTAGGGGTTTAGGGTTTGGGGTTTAGGGTTTAGGGTTTGGGCAAAGTTTTGCTTGCGCTGAAGACTTATATCGGTAATACGTAAGAAGCCCGAGACCCCGAACCCTTGAGGTACACCCTAAACCCTAAACCGAAACCAGAACCGCTGTGATCACTATTTAACGAACTATTTGGTCATTTCGTTCCTTGCGGTCTAGCTGAAGTTCCATGCGGTGAAGGGCAGCGCGGTCTGCTCTTCAGGCTTGTACGAGTTATATGCCAGCACATTTATTTAAATAGCTGTTGCACTTTAGGTCTTGGTGTAAACCTGACCTAACCTAGATACCTCAGTAGTCCCGACGCGCACCCGCAGCCCTAAGCTCTGTTTGAAGGTACATGGGATTTAGTTGCCAGAAATTATAGGATAACGATCCTTGCAGGTACTTATAACCCCGGTCAAGATACTTATAACTGTACGTACTAGGTCCCATGAACCTCCAAGTAGCATAATTGAAACCTAAACCCTTATCCCTAAACCCTAAACTCCAAACCCTAAATCCTAAACCCTTGTCCCTAAACCCTATAAACCCTAAACGCGAGCATAGCCGGAACCCCACCATCTTCCCTGCCAGGTGTCAATGCTGGAGCCAGAGGCCACGCAGCAGAGCCTGGAGACGGAAAGTTTTGTGGAGGAGGTCTCGGAGAGTGAGGGGGACAAAATTTTAGGATTTTGGGTTTAGGGCCTTTGGGTTCAGGGTTTAGGGCCTTTGGGTTCAGGGCCTTTGGGGTTCAGGCTTTAGGGCCTTTGGGTTCAGGGTTTAGGGCCTTTGGGTTTAGGCTTTAGGGCCTTTGGGTTCGGGGTTTAGGGCCTTTGTGGGGTTAGCATTGCATGCTGTGCTGCGGATGCAGGTTGGTAGGAAGGTTTGGGTTCGTCCTTAAGCTGGTGCAGATCTTGGAGAAGTCTTGCCGTTGCTAGCAACTTGTCCTGTTCATGTCGTTCTTTGTGATTATCAAAGAACTGCGCTGGTATGCTCGGTATTCTTTGTAAGCAATTTGAATATTCAGTGTTTCCATGTGGTTACTAAGCCCCTGTCCCTTGTCAAGCTGCTGCTTTGAACTATGATGCGATGGTGGTGCTGCCTACAACGGCTGATCAGTGTGCTACTGTAGTATGTGGAAGGTGATGGTTATCGGCCATGGTATATCTATCTATGGAATAAATACTGATGCGGTCGTCTTGTAGTCCCATTGGAACTATGCTAGATTATACTCCACGCCCGAGTCTAGGCCCTTACATTAAAATATAACAGGGCATCATAAAACTGAGAAAGACCAAGGGGAGCCACACAAACACACCCCACAGCCTCATTCTGCTCTAAACCCTAAACCCTAAACCCTAAACCCCTAAACCCTAAACCCTAAACCCCTAAACCCTAAACCCTAAACCCATTCTGCTCTTTAAGGCTTTACATGCTGTTTTGCGGCTCAGAAGATGTGGCCTGGAAGCGACAGCCCTTTTATTTTTCTTCAGGGTTTAGGGTTTAGGGTTTAGGGTTTAGGGTTTAGGGACAGTCACCGTGTTAGACGCTCGAGTTCAACGATTGCCCTTGTAAGGTTCCATGTGCCCATACTCAGACCCTCAAGTATCTGTACATGGAGGGACCCGCTTGAGGCCCAAATTTCTACTATATGGAGACATAGACCATAGATTCATAGACAGCCGAGGCGCAAAAAGGCACATAACTTATGGCCGCCGTCCAAAATGACCACTTCAGCCTCATCTATTGGGTCAGGCTTACGATATGGGGTTGCGGCTGGACGATTCTCATGTTTTGACGACACCGGTTTTGTGCTTCAGGCTCCAGGCTTGTGATTTGATGCAGCCCATAAATCTTAAATCCTGACCCGTTTCCCTCACCCAGAGATTCCAATATCATTATCCCTTAATTAAGGAATACACCTTAAATCATAGTAGGATCCCTAATATGATTTAAGGTATATTCCTTAGTCAAGGGATATTGGAGTCTCTGGGTGATTTGATGCAGCCATAAATCTTAAATCCTGACCCGTTTCCCTCATGTCCCTGCAAAGGCCTCCGGCATGGACGTGCCGCTTCCGGATGAGGCTGCTCCCGGCGAGCCAGAGAATCAGGGCGAGCCCGAAACCGAGGACAGCACAATGCTTAGGGTTTAGGGTTCTCTTCAAGTATGACCTAAACCCTCCACAACTCCTTCATGAATGTCCCTTCAAGGTATGCCCTAAACTCCCTAAATCCCAAAGGCCCCTAAACCCTAGAATCATGGAGGCCTCCTTAAAGCAACTTAGGGTGCACTTCCCTAACCCTAAGGGTCCACGTACCAAAATAGTATATACTTTGGCCTGAATGTAGTCCCCATATAGGTACTTTGGGGCCAAAGTATATGGGGGTTTCCGAAAATAGGGGACCTAATATAGTACCCTAAATAGTAGGATCCATATTATAAGGACCCCCAATAAGGTACCCCCTATTTTCGGAAACTCCCATATACTATTTGGGTGCATGGACCCTTTTAGGGCACCAACGCTAGAGTTCCTAAACCCTAAGCCCTAGAGTTCCTGAGCCTTAAACCCCGAACCCTAAATCTGGTGACTTAAGATACCCTAAACCCTAAACCCTAAACCCTAAACCCTAAACCCTAAACCCTAAACCCTAAGTTGAGGAGGTTTGGGGAGTCTCAGGGCTCCGGAGGGCTGGCGATTTTGAAGCCCGAGATCTTCCAAGATCCTTCAACTTGAGGAACTTACCTTACCCTAAGGGTCCATGTGCCCACATAGTAGAACATTTGCCTTAATGTAGTCCCTATATGGGTACTTTAGGGCCAATGTTCTACTATTTAAGTACATGGACCCTTAGGGTTAAGTTAAGCCATGTTTAGGCTTTAGAGTTTAGGGGGTTTAGGGGTTTAGGGGTTTAGGGTTTAGGCGTTTAGGGGTTTGGGGTTTAGGTTTTAGGGGTTTAGGGTTACCTGGGGATCCAAACCTGTTCTACCCTTTAATTAAGGGGTCAGATTAGGGTTTAGGGTTTAGGGCTTAGGGCTTAGGGTTTAGGGTTTGTAGGTTTTGCGGTCACCGGTAAAGCTTGACTTAAACCTTTTTAGGGATCCTTCTACAAGTTAGGGTACATTTCTTAACAATTTATTAAGGGATCTTGGAAGATGTGGTGGGTTTTGTGTGGAACATGTTTTTTTTGTTGCATCTTTTCGCTGATGTTTGTCTTGTGTCTCTTTCGGGTTTGGGGGCGCTTTTCCGTTTAGCTTAGGGCTTTAGGGTTGGCAGCAGGATGACCTGAAAGGGACAATAGAAGGGACCCCTAATCCAAATACCCTATATATAACTCTATATACTCCTGATATAGTCTCTTAAAGCCCCACTATAACCCCAAGGGTCCCTTTAAGGGTCCCTTCTTTTTTTTTCCCTTGAGACCTGAAACCCTATAACTTCCCAAACCCCTAGCCCGTTGCTTTCGAGCCAATGGACAGACTCAGCCGGTCCCCGGGTGTGACACAACATTGAGAAGCAGTTGTGAGAGCTTTGGCTTGATGATTTTTCCGACGTTTAGGGTTTAGGGTTACGGTTTAGGGTTTAGGGTTTCCCGGGCGTTGAGGCGCAGGGGGCGGGCGAAACACGTACAGTTTGACAGCAGACAACCATACCGCACCTCGATGATTACACGAGAGATCTCAAGGCTGGTTTGCCAGACAACGACTCACCCAGTTTTGGATCTTGCGGAGAAATAAACTTCACAATGATCTGTTTTCTTTGCTGCCCCGCGGAATAGACTTTATGAACGGTTCGCCAACATTAAAAACTGGGTCCACGTTTGAATGTACATTCAATTCTTCGGTTTTGTTGCTGTGCTAGCTGCTGGTGTTTGGCGTTACCGTGCGACAGTCCTTTTAAGTAAGACCTTAAATTCTAGTAGGATGCTTACGGCCTATTCGTTGGTTAAAGGAGTTTGGAAGGTCTGGGGTGAACCTGCCTCCCATCATAGCCGAGGCGTGGTCTGTTATTTTCAGCCATTCAACACAGAAGGAGCATGAAGATGAGACCCATGATGCTATCACACACACACAAGAAACCCTAAACCCTGTACTGGGGTCGGAATAATTGGTATTAACCCAGAAGGTCCATAAATATTACAAGTATGGAATTAGCCCCCAAAAGACCATCCTTAGATTGCCTTTAGGGACCTAATTCCATCATTGTAGTATACATGGACCCTTGTGGTAATAATTTGTCCCTAAACCGTACAGCCTAAACCCTTTACCCTAAACCCTAAACCCTAAACCCTAAACCCTAAACCCTAAACCAGAACCCCAGGCCGACGTAGAGGTACTGCGAAGCCCTGGAACCCCCGACCCTGCAACCAACCCTACAGTCTGAAACCATATTTGTTTAGGGTTGAGGGTTTGCGGTTGAAGGTTTAGGGTTTAGGGTTTCATGCCTCAAACCCTCACCTGGGGATCCAAAAAACCTACGGTTTCAGGGGTTCTACCCTCTGTTTAAAGGGGTCGCCGCCTTCTATTTTGTAGGGTTTGGGGTCACAGGCACACCCAAGACCCCAAAACCCCACCTGCCACATTCAGCTAACAAAAAATGTGGAGGATATCCCTCCTGAAGCACTTCCATCGGCAGACGAGGAGAAGGAATGCTCATAATTATGATGTCGCTATAGATAATAGCCTACCAGTCGTCATAGTGATCTTAACAAGAATATTGCCAATATTAGTAATAATTAATAATAGTGCCACTAATAAGAACAATAAGGAGAAGAATAACCCTAAACCCTAAACCCTAAACCCTAAACCCTAAACCCTAAACCCCAAACCCTAACCCTAAACCCTAAACCCTCAATAATACGAATACCAATGATCGTAGTCTCGGAGCCCGGCGAGCCTCAACAGTTGTTTGTGTTTTATCGGTTTTCCATGTGGTGTTTAGGATTTAGGGTTTAGGGTTTAGGGTTTAGGGTTTAGGGTTTAGGTTTTAGGGTTTAGGGTTTAGGGTTTAGGGTTGTGTTTTCGGCATTTCGGGTGTGGGCGGGATTGTGATCGTTGAGCGCGTCTAGCAGTTGCTAACCTTGCCGGAATAAGTCTACAAAGCTACACCCTCAGCACTAAACCCTCAACCCTAAGCCCTCAACCCTAAACCCTCAACCCTAAACCCTCAACCCTAAACGCCAAACCCTAAACCCATAGGGGTATTAAACCTTCCCCATGGCGCTGTGGAGAGGGTGTTCGAACAGCTCCACAGACGGCTTTGAAGATCCTGGTTGTCCGGAGCTCCAGTAATGTAGGGGCCTAAAGAATCACCTATATTCTTTTGGGGGTTCCGAATTATAGTCCTACTGGTGTTTTAATGCCTGGGTTCCGAAGTATAGTTCTAGTAACTGTAGTTTATTAATAATTCATTAAAGCAAACCAAAACCCTATTCCAACTATTAAGGCCCCTATATTCTTAGGCTCCCTTCAGGCGTGTTTTTGGTTTTCACCCGAAACCCTAAACCCTACCAGCACCTCCCAACTACCCTCTAATAAACCCTACATGCCCACTATTAAGGACCATAAGGGCTCCATAAAAAGGGGGGGGTGCTGCTAAACCCTAAATCCTAAACCCTAAACCCCTAGAGGTTTAGGGTACTTGGGGGGTGCTGGTATTGTACCCAAAGACTGAATGTTTCTCTTCTTTCGGGGCAGGCCTGGGTTTAGGGTTTAGGGTTCAGGCGTTTAGGTGTTTAGGGTTCAGGCGTTTAGGGGTTTAGGGTTTAGTAGGGTTTAGGGTTTAGGGTTTAGTAGGGTTTAGGGGTTTAGGGTGTAGGGTTTGTTGAACCGTTGGCGACTGTGTGGCGTGACGGCGCTGCGTCGCCCGAGAAGACTGGATCTGAATTGGTCTGCCTTGAAGGCGTTTTGCTGATGGAGCAAGTCGAGTTGTCCTCACCGCCACTCGGCGAGCGTGTCAGCGTTGGCACAATCCTGCGGCAAGAAAGGCCAGTTATTCTTCATGCGCGCATCCTCCGCGTGTGACATAACCCGCTGGCAAGAAAAGCCGAGTTCAGGAAGAACATCAATGATCGTTTTGGGGCTCAGGCTGATCACTGCAGTCATGGTGAAGCTTGGATCTCCGAGGCGGCAGAGATACGTATCCGGTAATATCTGCCCAGGCGAGCCAAACGGACTTTGTGGAAATATTGGACTTCGATGCAGATAGTAACAGTGACCCTTCTAGTAACCCGTTAAAGGAACCCCTTAAGGGAGGGTTTAGGGTTTAGGGTTGAACCCCTCAAGACGAACCCTTACAGTAGCCCTTTAGAGGAACCCTTTTATACATGGACCCTTGGAGTGGTCCTTTGCAGCCCGTTAAGGGTTCCTCTCAGGTTTCAGGAATTCCTTTGACGGTTTCCTTTAAGGGTTCCTGCAAGGGTTCCCTTAAGGGTTCCTTTAAGGGGTTCCTTTCAAGGCCCTTCTAATGGCTCCTGCATGAGATCCCGGTGAAAACAGGAGCCAACCGTCAGCGAGAGCCAGCCTGTGAGCACGCCGAGTAAAGACCGGCAGGCCTTCTTTGAGGTGGTTTAGGGTTTGGGGGTCAGGTTTTTCCGATGGTTTGAGGGTTCCTTAGTAAAGCTTTCTTTACATGGATTCCGTTCTTTGAGGTCATTTAGGATTCAGGATTAGGTTGATGATATAAATCCTCCATTACCCATAATAACGAATACACGATAACTTCCATAGTTTAGGGTCCTTAAGGTCATGCAGGATTCATCAACAGTAGGAATTCGGATTTATCAACTAGAATAGGAACTAAAGTTCAGGATTGAAGAATGCGGGTTTCAGAATTAGTAGCCGAGGTATAGGAACCAGGAACTAGCATTTAGGATTTAGGAACAAGTGGTACAAGGGCCAAGGAGGAGATGGATGGCATGCATAGTAAGTCTGTGCTTGAAGAAGTTTCGCGTGACAATCTCAGACAAGAGCTGGGTTTGACGCCCGACGAGAAGATTCCAAAGCCTCTGCCACAAAGCTGCTGGTGACACGAAAACCTTATGAAGGAGTTGGGCCATCTGCGACCGAGACTGATCTTGGGAAACCGCCGTGGAGAGCCAAGGTGAGACTTTGTGCATGTGGCAACTTTGAGGCTGAGGATGGATCGGAGGTTTCAACTCAGAACGTTAGTCCGGAGGCACTTCGTATCATGGCCCAGTGCACATCAAAACTGGAGCTGCTGGGGATGTATCGCTAGCGCCCTTGAATTCACAATTGGATGAAAAGGACCTGGTGCTGCTGGAACCTCCTTCGGCCCTCAAGCGTCTAGGACTTGTGAAACCTCACCTTCTGTGGCGAGCCAGAAAACACATTTATGGATTGAGAAGATGTCGAAGGGCATGGAGTTCATTGCCTGACGAAGAGGAGCAACACTATCATGTTCAGCTTGAAGGTACACTTGTGGGGAGGGTTTAGGGCTAAGGGTTTAGTGTTTGGTGTTAGGTAGGGTTTAGGGTCTAGGGTTTAGTGTTTGGTGTTTAGGATCGTAGACACATCGCCAAAGCACACCCTCATGATTAGAGAATAATTATTTCATGTTCAGATTTCAAACCACCCATTAAAGCTCATCAGCCGTTGTGCTATGTAAGAACAGCCCATCCAAACTTCGAGATTCGAAAACACTCTAGCTTACCAGTCAGCCTAGCCCGAAAACCACCAGCCGGACACCGTCGATTCCTAAAGCCTACATTCAATACCCGTAATATAGGGGCCTAAATAATTGCCCATACTATTTTGGGGTTCCTTACTATAATTATAGTATAATGGGCCCCCACACCCTATTCTAACTATTAAAGCCCTTACATTAGGCAGAGAATTCCAAGACGAAGGCCATCAGCACGGACAACAGCCAAATGTAATTTTGCTAGTAGGAATATTACCATTACTGCGATCACTAGCACGGATATTGGTACTAATGCTAGTACGAACATAAATGCCGTTCCTACTACCAAGACTACTACTAAGAGTTTGCGACTTAAAACACTAATGCAGAAGCCTAAATAACTACCTATACTATTCCTGAGGGCTTCATATTTTATTTATACTATGAAGGAGCCCAAGACCCTGCTGGTACACCTTAAACCCTAAACCCATAAGCCCTAAACACTAAGAGTGTGAGACTTACACTAAGCCCAAGCCCCAGTTAGTAAGAAGAGAACGGCCGCCGCAGGTCCGGGTCGCTTTTTCTCCCCAGGAGGTCATGGAAAGGGAGATCTCGCAGGAGGAGGTGCCGTTGGGGGGTTTAGGATTTACTGCACGGCTTTAGTGTCTGGTTCCCTGTTAGGGGCTGGATTAAAGATAACATGTTCAATCTCCTTGTTGGGTTTTAGTATAGCAAAAGTGTAAGCTTGTAGCATCTTGTAGCCAACAAGGACCCAGGTGCCCGGAGGATTAGGGCTTTCAAGTTCAGGGGGTTTAGGAGTCTAGGGGCTTGGGTTTAGTGGTTAAGCTAAAAATTAGGGTTTAGGGGTCCGGGGGGAGATGCCCGGACGGTTTACTAGCAGTATATATATATATATATACTTATACATATACATATATATATATATATACATATATATATATATATATATCTACTTATACATATATATATATATATATACTTATATATATATATATATGCCGTTATATGTGCATACTCAGCTGTGCGATGGCAGGAAGGGCCCATCGAAGAGGACCCTGGATCTACAGAAGTCCAAGTGGAGGATCCGGCGAAGCCAGCGGGCATGTTGTTCCAGGTGCCTCCTTGCGGTTTGAAGTTTTGTTGAAGTTTAGGATTTAGGGTTTCGTTTTTTTTAATAGGTGGTTCTCTAAATTAGGGCCCTTTCTTAGGTTCCCAATGTAGTACGGCACTCTCATAAAGAGGACCCTAAAAGGGACCCTAATTCAGAGAACTACCCGTATAAGTCCTCAACCCTAAACCTTGAACCGGCTTAGGGTTTACGGTTTAGAATTACAATATAGGGTCATAAGTTGCTGTTTTAACAATATTACCCCTCGGGTTCTTAACATATAGCTATAGTATCCCTAGTCCGATTATTCAGGCCCCTACAGTGGCCAGCAGCGCTGCACTTGTGACATCCTCTAGTGTGAAACCGCTAAAGCTGCCCTAAAAAATTGGGTGCAGCAGGTAGGGGGCGGGGTTCGTTTTGTTGCCTTCGGAGTGTCTGCCGTGTTGTAGAGACCAGTATTGAAGACCACAAGATCTGAAGAAGGGCACTTATGGGGGTGGCGTGGTCGAATGCTTTAGAGTTTAGGGTTTATGGTTTAGGATGTCGGATCGAGGGAATTGGGACTACCTGACTTCCGGACGTACGGTATGCGTGGGGGTGGTATGGGTTCCAACAAGGCTTCTTCAAGGGTTTTTGTAAACCGTGATTTTCCCCACCTAAACCCTAAGAAACGTGACTGCCTAGTACCCTAAAACCCCTAAAGCCTAAACCGATAATGCAGGGGCCGCATCAATCAGAAATAGATCGTTTCAGTAATCCTGTATAGTCCCTTCTCACAACCCTATTCGGATTATCAAGACCACCGTATGCTAGCAACTACAGCAGAGTCCTGAGGGTCCAGGTACCCCTATAGTTTCTTCTGACAGTCTCTCTATATAGGAACCTATAGGAAGCATTTCAGGGTGTAGTACCACGAAGGTCCCTTTGATCCCGGTTCGCCCCCCCTCCCCCCCCCTCCCGCCCCCTGTGGTGTGGTGTGGTTCAGGGGGTGAGTCTTCTTATTTCGGATAATGGAGGATTTAGGGTTTAGGGTTTAGGGTGGGTTTATGGGTCCAGAAAGACTCTTCCGAGGATCCTTGAACTCAAACCCCTGGCTCCTTTTGCCTTTGTTTCACGGGCTCTCAGATAACCCATCCAGCCTCGAGCCCGGTTTAGGGTTCAGGGTTTAGGGTTCCCAAGTATCTGGTGGAAGCACGATAGCTCTATTAACCTCTAAACTCGAAGCGATTTCTTTACAGAAGCCAACACGACGAAGGTGTTCTCGCACTCCGAACCCCCTGGCGTGGGATTTTTGGCGCCGCCGCCGAAGGGGCCGCCCAAGCTGCGGTGGAAGGACTCGGGTTTTGGGTGTAGGGTTTAGGGTTTAAACCTAAATCCGGAGCTGTGGGTTTCTTATACTATTTGGGTACATGGAAGTTTCTTAGGGTACCAACTCTAGAGTTGCTAAGCCTTCAACCCTAAACCCTTACACCTGGTAACTTAAGATAAAGATGTAAGATTCCTGAACCCTCAAACCCTGAACCCCCAAACCTCAGACCCTAAACCCCGCAGCCCCTAAACCCCTGAAACCAATCAGCCCGAAGTTGGTAAACCCTTAAAAGACTTACTCAGCCAATGGGAGAACTTTAAACTTTTTGGCCTTATATATCTGTCTTCTTGGTGTTCTTCTGGTTGGCTCTTAGGACTTTAACTTTTTGGGTTTCTATATGAACTATAATATGGTGCTAAAAGTTTAACTTTTTGGAGGGGTTCAGAAGTCAGCCAAGTCTATTTTAGAAAGTTCAAACTTTTTTGGACTCGGTTATTGACGAAGAGAGAAGAATCCGAAGATGCGGAACTCCTAAGCCACAAAAAGGATTCGAACCTTCAAGGCCACTCAAGGCCCCTGAGAGCGTTTTCTTAGACCTCTATAGACCTCTATGACAGCTAACTTACGGTTTAGGGTTTAGGGTGTAGGATTTAGGGTTTACGGTGTAGGATTTAGGGTGTAGGGTGTAGGGTTTAGGGTTTAGGGTCTAGTTTAGGGCCCCCAGAAACGATTATAAACCGGACCCCAACCTTCAAACCCGGGTGAGAACGCTCCAGGATTGGCTCAAAGGGGAAGAGGCCGCCCGGGCCCCAGTGTCTCAAAGCCCGGAGGCTTCTTTAGAATTAGTTCCGTCCAAAGCCATGATCAGCCACGGTTTAGGGTTTAGGTTTAGGTTTGGGGTCTATTCCCATCAGATACTACTTAGGCTTAGGGGTTAGGCTTTGGGGTTTAGGTTTTAGGGTTTGGGGTTTAGGGAAGCAGCAGAAGCAACAGCAACAGTGCGACCACTGTGCGACTCCGAGTTCGGAATGCTCGGGGTTGGGGTTTTAGGGTTCAGGAGTGTAGGGGTTTAGGAGCTTTGAGGTTTGGGGTTAGGGTTTAGGGGTTTAGGGTTTTGGGGTTTAGGGGTCTAGGGGTTTAGGGTTTAGGGGTTTAGGGCTTTAGGGCCTCAGCCGTTCGAACACTTACCTTAGTAGCTGAATGAGAACACTTTACAAGTTTTTGTGATACTAAGACCCTTGATAGAACTGAAAGCGCGCACTTTTTTGGGGCTCCTGAACTCAACCCTAAACCCTAAACCCTAAACCCTAAACCCTAAACCGGAAACCTCGAAAGCCTCTAATTCAAGAGAGCTAACAGCCAGACCCTAAACCCCAAGGCCCAAAGCTACAGCAATCCAGTGCTCCAAAGGATGCAGGCAGGGGAGTCCTTGGTGGGTTGAGGGTATAGGCTTTAGATCTCAGGGTCTCACTTCATTGCGAAGGTTTGATGGTTCAGGGTTGAAAGTCTCCGGCTTAAAGAGTTTCGGCTTGAAGCTTTCAGGTTGGGCTTTGAACCCTAAACCCTCAACCCTAAACCCTAAACCCTAAGTTAGGGTCTAAAGGGGACTCGGGTCTCGTGTTTTCCTGCTGACTGTCTCGATTGAAGGTCCGTGAGGAGTCATAAGAAGCAGGGCATAGCTACAGTCCCCTAAGGGTCCACGTACCCAAATAGTATATACTTTGGCCTTTAAGTTGGACCCTCAGGGGTCAGCATACGCCCTATCCGCGCTTGCAATATCCCTTGATCCTTGAAGCGCTTGGTTTCGGCACTGTTTTTATGTGGAAGGGTTGAGGCGCTTAAAAAAACAACTATAAGCCCTAAGCCCTGGCAGCTCTTGCCACCGCCTGTCCCCAAAGCAAGGCACATGACGAAGAAGATGCTGATGGCGAAGCCCAGAGCTTCACTTCAATAACATAGGGTTCCTCAAAGGGTTCTATAAATGAAACTGTAGGGGTTTAGGTTTTAAGGGCCTTAGTAATTAGAATAGAGTTCTGGGGAATCTTATACTATAATTACAATATAAGGAACCCCCAAAATAATATTGGTAATGAATGCCCCTTTAGGCCCTTGCCGGGTTTTATTAGGGCGGTTGGGGTTTAGGGCTTACATGTGGGCCTGGTTATAGTAAGTTCCTTCGTAAGTTAGCAGCATGCAACGAAGGAAGCATGATGCACAACATTGCACACCAAAGCCTAGGGCCTAAGCCGTATACTAGTGCAGATTGCACCCAAGACCATACTGTAGACTCTACACCCTTGGCTCAAAGTCTAGGACAGTTTCAGGTGGGTAGTTACCATTATAGGAACCGTTTAGAAGGTCTAGATACCTTATAGAAGCCTTATAGAAGCCCTATATACCCTAAACTCCCCACCTGTAGTTTCCTTTAACAGAGGAATATTAGCCCAAAGTGTCCTACGTACTGTCATGGGGGGATGCTTTCCTAAGTCATGGTAAGGATACCCATCCTATTATAGAGACCCTACATTCTACTATATAGGTACTTTGAACCGTTTAAGAAGGGCATCCCTGAACCTAAAACCCTTCAATAACCCGGCATTGGTTTAGGGTTTAGGGTTTAGGGTTTAGGGTTGAGGGTTTAGGGATGAGTGGGCTTGGGTGAAAACAGCATTGGTTTGAAAGTTTGACTCGGCGGGGTATTCACAGTCTCCTGATACCTTACATACGAAATTTATTCAATGATCATGGTAAGAAGCGACAATGAAAGCGAATGTTGAAACTTCACTGACATGGTAGAAAAGACTCTCACATAGCACACGTGAACCTTCAACTAATCTTGTAAGCTCGTTGAGCTCGACCTGAACCTTAAGACCCCTAAACCTAGGTTTAGGGTTTAGGGTCTATAGGGTTTAGGGTTATAGGGTGTAGGGTTTAGGACCCTAAACACTAAAAGCCCTGAGCCCTAAACTCGCACAGGAAGTTCGGGCTGCGCGGGGGCCCCTGGAAGGTGGAGGAATTACTGGGCTCAGGGTTCGCAAGACTCTCAACCCTGAAACCCCAAACCCTTGAAGCCGTGAAGCCCTATAAATGCCTTATAGACCCTAAACGCGGGACTAGACCCTAAACCCTAAACCCTAAACCCCTAAACGCGGGACTAGACCCCAAACCCTTGGGGTTTCGGCTTGACTGTTGATGGTCGAGGGTGTGGGTCGTCACCTTCAATTTGGTTTCAGGGGGTTTAGGGTTTAGGGTTTAGGGTTTAGGGTTCTGGTTTCCGTTCGCTGTTACCTGAGTTGCAGGCTGCCTTTCCGCCAACAGGTAGGGTTCACGGTCGGGGATTTAGGTTTTAGGATTTCTGATGAGCGTAAGGTATTTCAGGGTTTGGGGTTTAAATGCATTTGGATGAGGGATCTGGGTGTCTAAGCATCAAGGTGTTTTTAACACAGGTATTATATTGCATGTTTTGAGTTGTCGGCGTTGTCTTCGTTTCAGGTTTGAGGTTTGGTGCTGCCCTGCACCCCAGGCAATATATCCCACCCCATCCAGGAAGCAAAGACGAGAAGCAGTTGGGGTAGATTGTAGAGCAAGTCGGCTCGATTTAATTATCGACGCGACATTAAGCGGTCACGGTTACAGTCTTGCACTGCGAAGACAAAGCGCGGACGAACTCTTTGCGGCTTTTCAACTGGAACAAATCGAGCACTTTCATCTAAAGCTAGATGCAAGCGGGCAAACGAGCTCCGAGACGACCCAGCCTGACTTAACTCTCCACCTAAAAAAGACAAAGAAATCATATAGTATACATTTTTGTAGCGTTTGCCGCTACAGGTTGGCCCTCTTCCCATGAAGTAATCTGCTAGTCCTACAAGAGCCTACAAGCTCTGTGAAACCCTAAGGCCCCAAAAGGTCTGGAAAATCTCTCTCCCCCCACACGCACACACAAACACATGCATGCAGGCATGTAACTAATTGTGTACATAAGTATAAACATACATACATACATACATACATACATACATACATACATACATACATATGTACGTACCTACATCTATACCTACGTGCATACATACATACTTACATACATACACATACATACACATACATACACATGCATACGCATGCATACACATGCATACACATGCATATATGCATACATGTATACATGCACATGCATGTACATGCGGACATGCTTACTTGCATACATTCATGCATGCATACATGCATGCATACATACGTATGTACATATACACATAATTATACATACACGTACAAATGCATAGACATATGCATGCACATACGCATGCACATACACATACACATACACATATACAGACACATACACATACACACATACATACATACGTACATTACGTACATACATACATACATACATAAATACGTACATAGAGACAGACAGACAGACATACATGCATACACAGATAGATACACACGCGCAGGCATACATGCATACATGCATACATGCATGCATACATGCATACATACATACATACATATGTACGTACATATACACATAAGTATACATACACATACATAGACATATACGTATACATACACATACACATACACATGCGCATACAGACACTTACATAGATACATACGTACATACTTACTTACTTACTTACATACTTACATACATACTTACACGCACACAAATACATACCAACACACATGCATACATGCATACATGCGTACATACATACATACATGTATACATACATAGATACATACATGCATACATACATTATACATACATACATAGATACATACACACATCATACATACATACATACATACATACATACATACATAAATACATACATACATATACACATACACATACACATACACGTACACGTACACGTACACAT